CCACAAGAAATCTACAAGCATCAACAGAGAAAACAAAATAAAATAAAAAATGGAAAATAGAAAATGACAAGAGGAAGAAGCAAAATTCAACTCCAGACCCCCAGCCCAAACAGGAAAATTCAAGAGCAAAATGAAAGAGAAAAAATTGGAAGCCAACCACTGCAACTTTCTGAAATGGTAGCAACAGAAATGAAAAACAAATGGAAGAAGCTATAGAAAAAATAATCTCTAAGGTATAAAAAAAAGATGATCAAAATGAAAGACATTAAAGCAGATACAGATAAAAACAAAGAAGATCTCAGGAAAATGATGGAAACTATGCCTGCGCAATATAAGAAAGAAATGCAACAGATTCAGAAATCCAGGAGATTAAAAACTCCATTAAAAGTATACATAGCAGACTGAATGAAAGTGAGAATAGAATATCAGATCTAGAAGATATGATTTCAACTAGTGACTGCAAAAGGAAAGATACCTTAAAATAGCAAGAGAAAATGAAATATCAGTTCAACAGCACAAGATGAAGCAAAGAGAAACAACATAAGTTTGACTGGAGTTAGTGAGAAAGCTGAAGACAGTGCAAAAGCTATAAAAAACCTCTTCACAGAAATAATGGAAGGAAACTTCCCAAACATAGATAAAGAATTTGACATACAAGTAAATGAAGCATATAGAACTCCAAATGGCCATGTCCAAAACAAATCTATACCAAGGCATATAGTAATCAAGATTCCAGAAATTCAAGAGAAGAACAGAATATTAAAAGCAGCTACAGAAAAGAAACAAATCACCTATAAATGAAAGTCCCTCAGAATCACAACAGGCTTCATAACACAAACCCTCAAATCAAGGAGAGTTTCAAGTGGGGTATTTCAAACCATAAAAGAAAACAATTATCAATCCAGATTGATGTACCCCAAAAAACTATATTTCAAAATCAATGGAGAAATAAGATAGTTTCATGACAAAGAACAACTGAAGAAATTAATGACCACCAAACCAACTCTTCACAGTTCTCTGAAGGATATATTAGAGATCATAAACACAAAAATGTCAATAGAAAGAAGCCACTAGGAAGGGCAAGCAATTAAACACCAGGGAAAGACATAGAATTAACAATAGGAAAATAACACCAAAAAGATAAACCAATACACTGATTATAACCATCAATGTAAATGGTCTGAACTCACCAAACAAAAGAGAAACATGGCAGAATGGATCAAGAAGCAAGATCCAACTACACACTGCATTTTACAAACACATTTAATTCATTGACTAAAAGTCAAAGGATGGAAAACAATACTCCATGCCACAGAAACCCAGAAAAAAGCAGGTGTAGCTAATATATCTGCAGAGAATGTAAACTTCAAGTCAAAACTGATCAAAAGAGATGAAGAAGGTCACTACATACTTGTTATGGGATCGTTCCAAGAAGAGATAACAATCATAAATATATATGCATGAAACAGCAGAGCATCCAACTACATAAAAAAATATTAATAGACATAAAAAAATCAAATTAGCACTAACACAATTGTGGTAGAGGACTTTAATACCCCACTATCACAAATACATAGATCAACTAGACAAAAAATCAACAAGGAAATATCAGAATTAAACAAAACCTGTGGACAAATGGACTTAGTAGATATTTACAGAGTAACTCAACTCTACAACATCAGAATACACATTCTTTCCAGCTTCACATGGGATGTTTTCCAAAATAGACAGCCTATTATCCCATAACATACTCCTAAGTAAATGCAGGGGAAATGAAATCATCCCATCCATATTAGCTGACCATAGAGCAATTTAGAGAAGATCTAATGCTGCTGCCCCTCAAACTCTTGAATGAAGTTGAAAGGGAATCAATATTCTCAAACTGATTCCGGGAAGCAAGTATTACCCTGACACCAAAACCAGACATGGATCCAACCAAAAAATAGAGCTACAGGCCAATCTCCCTAACAAATATAGATGCAAAAATCCTCAGTAAGATACTGGCAAGCAGAATGCAACTAATCATCAAGAAGATTATATACCATGACCAAGTAGAATTCATTCCAGGGATGTAGGAATGGTTCAACATACACAAATCAATAAATGTAAAACACCATATCAACAGAACCAAGGATGAAAAATTGTATGATCAGCTCAATAGATGCAGAAATCATTCATGATTAAAAACTCTACAGAAAATTGGAATAGATAGTCTTTATCTCATCTGATAAAAGCCATTTATTACAAACCAAGAGCCAACACTATCTTAAATGGTCAAAAATTTAAAACCTTCACTCTAGAATTAGGAGTAAGACAGGGATGTCCACTATCACTAGTCCTATTCAACATGGTTTTGGAGGAGCTGGGGATTTAGCTCAGAGGCAAAGCGCCTGCCTGGCAAGCGCAAGGTCGTGAGTTCGGTTCCTGGTACAGGAGAAAAACCAAAAAAAAAAAAAAAAAAAAGAAAAGTTCAACATGGTTTTGGAAACATTAGCCAGAGCAATTAGACAAAAGAAACTAATAAAAGGAATAAAGATAGGAAGAAAAGTTAAATTATCATTATTTGTGATGACATGATACTCTACATAGAATACCCCAAAAACTCCACCAAAAGACTTCTAATTTAATAACCAACTCCAACAGCATAGCTGGATACAGAGTCAACACTCAAAAATGAATACCATTCTTGTATACAACCAACACACTCAGAGAGAAATTAGGGAAACAACACCTTTCACAATAGCACAAAAAATACTTAGGAATCAATCTAATGAAGGAAGTAAAAGACTTTTACATTGAAAACTATGGTAAAGTTTAGAGATTGAAGAGGATATCAAAAAATGGAAAGATATCCCTTGTTCTTAGAAAGAACAAATGTAGAGAAAATGGCCATACTTTAAAAATTGCTATGCAGATTTAAAATAATTCTAGTAAAAATATCAACAGTACACCTCACAGAATTAAAGAAAACATTCCTAAAATTCATTTGGACTGACCTAGAATAGAGACCTAGAATATCAAAAGCAATTCTGGGCACCAAAAGCAAGGAAAGTGGCATTGCAATCACTGACTTGAAATTATACTGCAAAGCTATTGTGATAGAAACACCATGGTACTGGCAAAAAAAAAAACAAAAAACAAACAAACAAAAAAAAACAGACCCAAGGATCAGTGGAACAGATTAGAAGATACATAAGCAATATGAAACATACTCAGCCACTTCGTCTTTGGCAAAGGGGCCAAATATCTGTCCTGGAAGAAAAATAGCCTCTTTAATAAATGATGCTGAAAAACTGGTTCTCTGCATGCCAAAGATTAAAGCTAGACTCATATCTCTCACCAAATACTAAAATAAAAATGAATCAAAAACCTAAGTATTAAAGCAGAAACCCTAACTCTATTGGAAGATAGAATAGGCAGAACTCTTGAAGACATAGGTGTAGGGAAAGACTTTCTGAACAAAATGCTGATCACATGGGGAATATTACAAAGAATCAACAACTGGGATCTCATCTTACTGAAGAATTTTTGCTTAGCAAAAGAAATCATGAACAGAGTGAAGAGATAACTCACATAGTGGGAAAAACTTTTTGCCAGCTGTTCTTTTGACAAAGGGCTAACATCTAGAACATATGAAGAGCTCAAAATATCAGATCCCCCAAATTTAAGAACACAATCCAGCCAGGCGTGGTGGCACGTGCCTGTAATCCCAGCACTTGGGAGGCTGAGGCAGAAGGATTGCTGTAAGTTCGAGACCAGCCTGGGCTACAAAGTGAGCTCAAGGCCAACCTGAAACTGCATAGCGAGACCCTGTCGCAAAAAAGAAACAAAAAACAAAAAACAAAAAACAAAAAACAACCAATCCAGAAGTAGGCATCTGAAATGAATAGACACTTCCCAGGTGAAGAAGTACAAGTAGCAAATAAATACATCAAAAAATGTTCAACATCATTGGTCATTTGAAAGATACAAATTAAAACAATGCTGAGATTTTATCTTACTCCAGAAAGAATGACTACCATCAAGAAATCAAACAACAAATGCTTGAGGGGCTGTGGGGAAAAAGCAACACTTCTCCACTGTTGTATGAATATAGACTAGTGCAGCCTCTGTGGAAGTCAGTGTGGAGCTTCCTCAAAACACTAGAATTAGAGGTCCCACTCAACCCTGCTATTCCCCTGCTGGGTATCTACTTGAAAGTATTTAAAGCATCATAACACAGAGATATATGCACACCCATATTTATAGCAGCACAGTTTGTAATAGCTACATCTTGGAATCAGCCCAAACGCCTGTTAACAGACGAATGGATAAAGAAGATGTGGTATTTTCATACAATAGAGTAGGACTCTGCTATAAAGGATAAACTTGAGACATTTATAGCTAAATGGATGCACCTCGAGGCCATACTCTTCACTGAAATAAACTGGACACACACATGTAAATATCAAGTTGCTCCTCTGATATGAGAAACTGAAAGTGTAAGTAAGAACCAAAATGTATACTAGATATTGGGAAATGGGAAGAAAATGTTCAAATGAGAAGAGGAACAAGGGAGGGGAGGGAAGAAAAAGAACGAAGGGGAAAAGAAAATAGAAGAAAAATGGAAACATGGCTTTTGTAAATAAAGAGGGGAAGAGGGGTTGAAGGGAGAGGAGAGGATTAGGGTGGGAAAGAATCAAGATATATCATGTACAGGTACAAACTCTCTACAATGAATGGGATCACTGTGTACATGTGAAACATACCAATAAAAAAGGAAAAACAGACAGAAGAGAAAACCAAGTGGAGTCTTCAATACTAGTCTCTCTCCTTTAACTGAATGTTTAAAAATGTTGTATCCACATTTATACTGTTGTCAATTTATACCGTTATGAATACTGTACACATTTTATGGTACAAGCACCCACCCTCTGTCTTTAACACTAGTGCTGAGTTGCAGAGGGTGCATGGTCTCTATGTCGCTCTTCTCCCCTTATCCTTATTCACCGAAGCTTTACCTTTGTTGATGAAAGTACTGATGCCATGTGGGTTAAACAGCTCTGTGTCAAATCCATCACTGATCTTTAGTGCTTGTGCCTTGGGGGCTGGCTCATTCAGATCCATCAAGAAGATTCTTCCTGGCTCATCTGGTGCAAAGTCTGGCATGCCTGGATATTTTAATCCCTTTTAAAAAAATAGAGAAAGAATGCAACACATAACCATAAGAAATAATATTTTTGTAAGGAAGCTGAATATCAAAGCCACACGCAATGCTCCAAGTTCTACATTTCATGTAGATTCCTTGGGATTTTTCACTTTGTCACAAGTTGTCTACTCTGGGTGGTCACCAATGTTATCTAAGCATGCACTGTGACTATGAGAAGAACCATATTCAAGACAAGGAAAGCCTTCTATTAAATGGGGCCAAGCCAAATATTATGATGAAACAGACCAGGCAGTGTGACTTTCTGTGTCCTTTGGTCAGCCTGAGCCTTAGGTTCCCTGTCTATCAAGAAGGAAGTTGAGATATATAATTGGTAAGATTCTTTCCAATCCTGAAATTCTATAACCTGCTTTCCTCAAAGCATAGAGAAGTGGTATATTGTTTAATTGTATTGCTCCCATCTGTGTACTGATTATTTTATATTGTAGCAAATGGTAGAATCAGCCAAGGATCCCCGTGAAGATGTAATTGGGACTGTTCAGAGATCACTGACTATCCCAAGATGGAGTGTCTGGCTCCTACAGATAAGTATTTCTGATCTATGTTATTTCTTCAGGTATGCCTGAAAATTCTGACATGAAACCTTTTTGCCAAATATTGCAAAAATTCATTCCAGTAACCTGGACTGTCAGCCTTTCTACTGGTACGGTGAGATGTTCGTCAACAAGCAACAGGCTTCGCAAATGTACGGGCCTCTGCCACACACCACCCCTAGGCTTGGGGCAGGTTCGCTCTACACTGAGTACAAGCAGCTTATTTCCTCTTCCTGGTCTTCCCCCACCCCTCTAATATAATCGCTATCAACCACCTCGTATCTCGTCCCATACATTTATCTCCATTTACCACTCATTTAAATTCTCTCCATCCTACTCTATCTTCTCACTCTGTCCCTCTCTCTCTTCTTGCTCTTTCTTACATGCACATTCACATCCATATTCTCTCCCACTCCTTTCTATCATCATCATGCTATTCTTTGTCCTTCTACTGCTCACTCCATCTTGGGATAGTCAATGTTCTCTGAGCAGTCCCAATTACATCTTCAAGCTTTTCTTAAAATGGCCCTCCAGCATCCAAGCCTTGCTCCCCCAGAGAAGTGATGTTCTTTCTCCATTCCCCATAGTTATGACATCTGTAGAACAGATCAGCAGGCCCCTGGTCATCAGCCCCGCTTCCAGGAAAGGTTCCGGCACTGGAGCATCTCCGAAAGAGGCCATACCTTTTGTTTCCTAAGAGGTCATCCCAACTGCAGCCAGATATTCAATATTGTGGATTGAATTTTTGTTCATTCTAATTTTTTTTTTTTTTTTGGTACCAGGAATTGAACTCAGGACCTTGCACTTGCCAGGCAGGCACTTGTGCCACTGAGCTATATCCCTGGCCCTGTTCATTCTAATAGGTGTTCTACTTGATTCCACAAAATACATCTTGTAAATTTATTATCTTTCAAAGTCTATATCTCATCCCTTATTATCCTGATCAAATAGTTTTACCTCCTACTTCTTTGAAAAGGCCATACCATTTAATATGAATTTCCTGATTCCCTCTTTTCTCCCTCAGTAATTCTTCCATTTTATCCACTCTGTTCTTCTCTTCCTCTTTTCTCAAGGAAGAAGCATTCCTCTTCTGTTTTTATAGTAACTCTTTCATATGTTTTCCTTGTTTCTTGTTCTTTAGGGCTTGTCTTTAGAAATCACATCCACTATTGTTTTATTACTTATTTTTAAGCTATTTTACCAATAGCTTCTTTGGCCTGAAGAGTTACTACTATTTCTCCTTCCTTAAAAGAACTTTTCTTCTAATTTTATCTCAATACAAATTTTCCATCTTCCCTTCACCATCCAGTTTCTCTGAAAGATTACCTGATTCTGTTATAGGATTTGTTCTCTCAGTTCCCTAAAATTAGCATTCCACTCCCACCACTATATAGGAACACCTCTGTAAGGGTCATGCCAACAATCTCCAAACTCTCTTACTTGACAGCTCTTCTACTTTTCCTTACCTGCAGCCCTGTGGTGCTTGACACTACGATATATGCCCTTCTTTCGTATGAGAAAGTCAGAAGTAGAGTTCTCAGGTAGAAGTCCTACTTCCATTCCTGCCTCTTGCACTACCTCTTCCTTCTGTCCCCATCCATCCCTCCTTTGTTCTCACTCTTTCCTTGCAGGCCTCACTCATCAGCCTTCAGGAATTTCCCCTGCACTAGTTACTTTCAAATATACACATTGACCCATAACTGGCCTCAGGTGCTCTAATATACAATCTCAACATCCTCCTAAAGGCAGCTCAAAAGCAACATGAAAACCAAAATTAATATCCTCCCCTCAAATCCTTCCCCTCAAGATCTGGTCTTCCTACTTAAGGGCATTACAATTATCCTGAAGACCGGGCCATATAACTCAGTCTTCAGGTCCTCTCTCTTCCGATAGCAAAGCTGCGCCATGCCTGGTGAATCAGAGAACGGTGACACTGGAAAAAAAATGTTGGTGGCATCTATTCTCCCCTCCCCTTCTCACATGGGAAAAGAAAGAGCAGAGGAAGGATCTGCCTGAATACCTTGAGCATTTATCCTACAGTGTCCGTCCACCGTAGCATAAATAAACATCTGAAGTCAGAGAACACTGCTCAGGAAGAGAGGTGAAAGCAGAACATCTCTGCAAGTACCTTCGCAGCTCAGGAGCAGAAGAAGGCACTGCCAGCTTGGGGAAGACTAGATGCTCCAGATGTGGAAATGATTTAAGACACAAGGAAGAGGCACTGCAACGAGCATGTCTTAGATTAACTCTTACAATGAATGAAACACTTCTAGTAAATAACCTCATGCTCACCTAGTTTTCAGTTCAAAGCACTTACGTAAGAACTGTGCCAGTAATACCACTGTGAGCTAGTGATGGCAGGCACTTTCTCATGCCATTTATCAGTGAAAATGGTGACAGTCATCTGGAGAAGCAGGCTTCTTATTTTCCCCAGCAGACTACAGGTACTCTGCCATGGGGACAATCATCGATGTCCTCCATCACTCTTGGTCAGCAGCACATGCGATGTAGTCAAGCACCCACAGTGCCAGCTAGTATGTGTTTGGTACTAGGCATGTGAAGGAACACTTTGCAAAGTCCTGGCTTTAAGGAATCTGAAGTCTGGTGATGCAGAAATGAACAAGCACATCTATAGGAGGCCTAGGTACTGGGGGTGTGGGGTCATAAAAGAGGACACACCCAGAAAGAGAGTGCTAGGGAAGCTCTCCCTGAGGAAGTAGAGCGCCACACAGTGAGACCTCACAGAGAAGCAGGAGCTGGTTGGCTAAGTGTGAAGAAGAGAGTGATCTTTCAAAGAGCAAGCCAATGTCCATGGCAGGGAAGAAAATATCCTGCTTGGCACCTCTAAATAGACTAAAAATATCCACAGCCTGAAATTGCTCTCTAAATCTGCACTTCCAAACCCGTCCTAGGGTGGCAAGAGAGAGTGGTGGAGGGGACCAAAGAGAACAAATCCTTAACTGTACTACAGTGTAAAAAGATTAGAAATATGCAAGAAACACAACCCTTAACCTATTTGTCAGTTTACAAATCAAGACTCATTCTCTTGAACTTCATGTTGAGAATTCTCATGCAATATTTGTGATGAAAATATCTTCTTTCTGCGTTGCAATAGGTATGAAGTTTTACTTCTAGTAAACAGAAAAAAAAATCATGCTGCAGTCAGGGCAAATGTTTCCTAGCAGCAAATGATACCTTATATTTTTGAAGGTCTATCAGTTACTTTTGAAAGTCCGTTTGGCATAAGACTGAATATCTAACTTGACAACAGAAAGTTTAGGTTAACAAAGAAAAGGCTTTTCCAAACAGTTTTTGCTTTATCTTTGATTTTGGAGGAAAAGTAAAGAAATAAAGTCCACACATGTACATATTTAAGATCTTGGAAATTCAGGCCATGGTTATTATAAGTGTCCCACTTTTGGCCAAACATACTTAGATTTAAAATTCATGTTCTTTTGTGTTATTTATAATGGCTGAAATAGAATAATATATCTGCAGTTTTAGCAGTGAGAATTCATTCACATCACAGACACGGTAAAACCACTTTAAAAAAATCTTAGCCAGTGTGCAATTGATGTAACAAAGTCAGGATAATCTTCAACATTTCCCCAATACATAAAAAAATTGTGTTATTGATGTTTAGTCCCTGGCATAGTTTCCTTATCATCCCAAACTAGCGACAGTGGCAGTGGGCATAGATACGGGCTCCTTTCTGCTTCTTGAAAAGCTCGGGAGGGATAGCAGGGAGCTAAGATGAAACCACTCAGGGTTTTGAATGGAGTAGTATGGTTGACATTCAACCCACTAACATTTAGAGAGCTCCTGACACAGGCAGGCATGGTAAGGGTATGAGTCAGTGAGAAGATGATTACCACGTGTTGAAACCCAGTCCAATAGGGCAGTGATGGGGATAGATGGCATCAGGACAGGTCTAGAGACCAGCCTGGGAATTGAATGGAAATCAATACATACTTACTGAGACCCTTGTGCATGGGAAGTGACCACAGGGAGCTGCCCACCGTGGGGACAGTCGAATCTGGGCATTCCTGTGGCGTTCTAATTAGCCTTCCAGATTCCTGCATGGGCTTTTTTAGCGGATTCGCCTACCCGGAGGTGGGATGAGGGTGTAGAGGTCCATCTGGCAGCCCTAACTGATGGCGCTAATGCACCGTCTGTGTAGCTACTGGTGAGAACAGCAGAGTGGCTGGAAGATACTCACAGTAGAGATAAAAGCCAGCCCCGTAGGGAGAATATCGATATCTTCAGAGCCATTTTCTGCAAAACCAAAACAAAAATATCAGAACTATGCATATGCGAAAGATTGAAGTCACAAATCTTACATTTCAAACTTCTGAAATTGCACTGAGTTTTTCAACGATTGGCTTGGGAAACTACGAACTTTCAAGACTCCCCACAGGCAGACTACTTACTCTATACAAACACCAAAGTCAGACTCCCCAAATACTAAATTCTTTTCCTAGAACTCCATTTTGGGGAGAAGTAGGTAAATAACTAGGAAAGAATTTCACATCCTAGATTTATTCTTTAACAATTTCCAGGGTGCGTCCTGAGAGATTCAGCCTTTATTCTCTATAAAAGGCTGGTCTAGGCTGAGTGAAAAAACTTAGAAAGTCAGAGTTGCAAAGGTTCTTCTTGGCCCCTGTACCAAGAAATCCTCCTCCTCCAGGCTGAGGCCTGAAAATCTATCATCACACAATCACACTGGGAAATTATTGTCTAATTCTTCTCTGTGATAAAGGCAATAGGCCTTAGGGTGAATTATTATGCATAAATGAATTGAAAGTGTTTAACCAGATCTCTTCCTCACTGAGAGCTGATCTTATGCATGTTGTGATGGAAACAGTCATATAATGAGTAAATTGTGATTGAGAACAGGTGAAAAATGGGTTGGGCTAGGTTTTAATGGGGACGGTTAGAGGGCAGTCAAGATAGGCAGTGAATGCTTAAATTTTAAAAATTTTTTACTGTAAAAGACACACTGCCACGAATCACTCTCAAAATATTCTCCCTCACTTCAAACACACTGATCTCATCATTCTTAGAAAACTGAAGCAGTTTTGGATGTCCTCTTTTGTGAGTATGCTTATGAAGGTGATAAAAAAAACCCAAAACTATAGCACATGCTGCTGTCAAGTGCCCCCCAAAGGAAAGGTAGGCTTCTAAAAACTTTATGGTGTGTCCTCATCCACCTTACTAATCAGATCTGGCACCATCAGACAGACTTCTGGCTCCTCCCCAAAGTGAAATGACCATGAAAGGTAAACATTTTGGATCAGTTTAGGACATCAAGGCAACCACAACAGATATTCACACAAAAAGGACTTTCAGAATTACTTCAGAAAGGGGCAACAACAATGGGATAAGGGTCTTGAGGGGGATTAATGGCAACGTGTCTTTTACTGTAATTAAATTTTAACACTTAGACATTCATTGTACTTTTCAGTCATGCAACATCAATGTACATCAGACATGGTCTCAAGCAGCAGGGGTGACAGTGAAGGTGATGGCTCTCTAGTGTGGTGATCTGCAGAGCCAGTCTGTACCGCAGGGGCCTGGTCTTCTTGGACTGTGTTGTTCATACTCTTCTATTACAAGATGGCTATGTTCTTTCTCCTTGAGCCTGCTGGACCTTTGTAACTGCCTTGAGACACAGAATTCCAATGACATCAACCAAGACTAAGTGGCACAACCATAGCTGCCTCTGGTACCCCGGCCACAAGGTATGTACTTTGTTCTCCCAGATGGAAATGTGAGAAGTCTAGCTATTCTACAGCTACGGGGAGAGCAGACAGAGACACCATAGAGGTGAAAAGAGGCATCAGAGGAGCTCAGACGGCTCTGATTCCTAGCCTTTGTTCCTTGCTAATACAAATAAAACAGGTAAACTATCTCCACTGAACCCTGCCCAAAGCAGAAACCATAAGCCAAATGTTATAATTTGTCTTCCAAACTAGATGTCTTCCCAAAGCCTCATTCACTCATAGGTGGGCTTTCAGGGTGTGATTGGATCATGGGGACTTGAGAGTCATCAGTGGATTGGTCCACTGATGAGTTTATAGCTAATCGTGATGTTGAGAGGTGAAGCCTGGTTGGAGGGGTTGGGTCACTGGGGGTGTGGCCTGGGAAGGTATGTATCCCTTTCCTTTGATCTCCTGCTTCCTTCTGCCACACCGGGAAAGCACTTTTTCTCTGCCATGGTGCCCTGCCTTGGAGCCAGCTGACCATTGACTGAACCTCTACAAACTGTGAGCAAAATAAATTTTCTTCCTTTAACTTATAGGAGTCATGTATTGTGCCCCACCAATGAGAAAGTGACTAAGACAGCAAACAACTGCTGTTTTATTTGTTTTTCTTTTTTTGGTTTTTCTCCGGTACCAGGAACCGAACTCATGACCTTGCGCTTGCCAGGCAGGCGCTTTGCCGCTGAGCTAAATCCCCAGCCCCACAACTGCTGTTTTAAATCACTGAGTTTTGGGGTGGTTGTTGTTACACAGCCATAGTATTTGGTGCAGATGAGAAAAGAGTTACCTGGAGAAATAGGTTAATAGGCAATTGGGGAGGATGAGGGGAATGTGTAAAGGAAAAGATGGACAAAGTCAAATAAAATGCAAATTTGAATCAATAGAAAGGTGAGCAAAAGCTGCTGAAAACTAGTGAACAGAGAAAGATCTGATTTTATTCACTATGCTGAAGATTGAAGCTGATCCACAACGAGTAATATGAAAAATAACTGAGCAGAACTTTCCTTCCCATTCTGATTAATCAAAATTTACTTGATGGCCTGAAAGATTTAGTGCTATTTCCACATGGGGTTACATAGACATTGGGTGAATCCAGCAAAGAGATTAAAGTAATTAAAATCACAGGTTTGTTATTTTCTGGTGTTTCTTCTGCGTCTCTGTACACCTTACTTTCAAGTTTCCTTTGACCTTCAACTGCTCCCCCAGGCTCCATTTATCATTAGTTCTTATGGCAGAATGTCTACCTACCTGTATCATTCACATGAATCATAGGGCTTCAACTTCTACCCATATTGATTCTCCAATCTCTACATTGACCCCAATGCATTCTTCCAAGTTCCAGACTTTGTAATCAACTGCACAGTGAACCTTCCATCACTCCCCACCCCTCCCAGCATTTCTTATAACCAGTGGCTCCCAAACTTATCAGGATATTTTCCCCTTGAATATGTTCTATTTTCTGTATTTCAACATCAGCGGATAGAATTTTCATCCTTGAGTATCCAAAGCACTCATAGGTACCCAAAGTACCTGTTATACTCAGAGTTTGAAAGGGAAACAGTACAGGACACACAATTTATAGGATTATTCTATAGTAGTCTCCCAAAGAGTCAAGTTCAAAAGAGTGCAGGAAATCTGTCCACACGCTAAGACCCAAAGAATACAGCTGTAGGGCCTGGATCCCACAGCAATGTCCTGCGTAAGTCCAACCGGAGGTGTACAGCCCACGATAATGTCTCAGGCAGGCCTGTTTCATGGATCTACACTGGGGAGACCCAAAGGTCATCGGTGGAAGCTAGAAAGTCTGTGCCTGCGGGATGAAGGATCTGTGCTAGTAGGCCGAGGGATCTGCACTGGAGCCAGGAGTGGACTAGAGCTCCCCCGAAAAGTACCACAGCCATTCTCAGCTACGATGAGGTTCCAAGCTCTTCTAATGATGAGAATAAGCGAGTCCATAACAGGACAGCCGGTGTGACACACTTCTCCAGAATACCATCTTCTCCTTTGGAGCCAGGAAGCAATGCTCAAAGTAAGGACCAGAGCTCCCACAAAGTAAATTGTAGCCATTCTCAGCAACAACAAGGTCTCAAGCTCCTCCAATGATGAGAACAGCCAAGTTCATCAGGAAAGCCAGCAGGACAAGCTCCTCTAGGAGAACCAACAGCTCCCTGAGGTCCAACAGCTACCTCACAGCACCTCTTCTTCTCCAGTTCTGCCTTTATGCTGCTGGCAACAATTCCCAGGTGGGCCTCCCACAGCTAGCACCACACCTACACTCAGTTCAGCTGGGTGTTACAAGCTGACCACCAGTTGTCAATCCATCATAGTACCCAAAAATAACCTGGAGCTATTTTTGAACTGTCCTTTTCCTTGGTCCCTAAATCCATGAAGCATCTGTCACTTGAGATCCAGAACTTCCTCTTGGGTTACAACAATAACTTCCCAGTGTGCACACTGCTCCCCAACCCCCTTTTCCTGCGGTGATGACTGTCATCTTTCAGAAATGCAAAGCTGAATTTGCAGGGCCCACTGTAGCTGGCAGTACAAATCCTGAGCCTTTTGGTCTAGATCCAAACCCTCCCCCTGCTTGGCTCCAGTCGCAGTTCTCAAGGCTTGTGCCATCCACTCTACATTCCAACTGTGCCGCAGTGCTTATGTGAGCAGCTTGTGAAATCTGCCTGCCTGTGCACACACACGCTGCTCCCTCTTGACAATCCAGTCCTTTCCCACACCACCCTCACCTCCACATGGACAAGCGCACATGCTCTGTGAATGAGGTTGGGGACCATTCCCTCAGCCTTTCCCATCTCTCCTGGTTTCAGCATCCACTTTATGTACTAATGGGATGGTCTGTGATTGCTTCACCAAGACATTTTTTCACACTGGGGCAGCTAACCTTTGTTCTGTTAACTTCATACTAGACGGAAAGTCCTGGGGGATGGGGACTGGGACTTTTTTTCAGCGCTGTACTCTTGCATTTCACACAATATCTGCCTTTTCATCGTAGGGGTGCTCAATAGGCTCAGTAAACAAAATGCACACTTTTAGTTTTTAAAGTTTGTCTTGTTTTGAAGTGAACGGTGACAAGTGAATGTTAATTTCTGAGTACCTGCCGTCTCCAAATGAACATAGTTCAACTTACGAGTTTTCCGCTTTGCAGTGGTGCAAAAGTGATGAGCATTCTGCAGAAATCTTACACTGGATTTTGAATTCTGACTTCCTCCCGGGCTAGCGATCTAGTGCATGATACCCTCTCTCCATGTTGGGCTGTGGCAGGGAGCCCCACCTCCCAGCCAGCTACTTAATCCTGAAGGAAAACAAGCGATACTCTCAATTGTACTGTGTTGCTGAGCCAGGATGTTTGGTAGGCTGGGTGTATGAAGTGCATTTTTGACTAATAGTATTTTCAACTTAAAGTGGGTCGATCAGGCCATCACTCCCATTGCAAGTCAAGGACCATCTCTACAAGACATTCCGAGTTGGGGGCTGGGGATTTAGCTCAGCGGCAAAAGTGCCTGCCTGGCATGCACAAGGTCGTGAGTTCGGTTCCCAGTACCGGAGAAAAACCAAAACAAAAAAAAAAAGACATTCCGAGTTGTGTGTGTTCTAATTCGGCTCCTTTTGTCTTCCAAACACCATCCTTTGTGTCTCCAACTTATTTCAACAGCTCAATTTTCAGACGCTCTGTGGCTTTTTTTTGCATCATGCTTCTCAGTCAGAAGCAGGAAAGAACTACCAGTGGGTTGCATAATATTTCTCTCATCCCCACCCCTGTCCACACGGCACCTCCATGGTGAGCCTGGTGCCTCTCAGCAACGGAGACCCCCATGGGAGTAAGAGCCCCAGGACACCCTCCTCTGTGGTCTCCCCACATACTCATTAGACTGCACACAGTATCATTAAAGCTCCACTGCTTAGTCTACAAATCTGTACTAGGGATAAATAACTACTGCTTTTTAACCTCTCAGCCCTACCACAACTTGGCACCAACTTTGTGTCTAATCAGTTCTTCATTTTTTTTCCCCAGTCATTCCCTACAGGCAGCCTGTGAAAGGCCCACACCAGGATTTTTCTATCAATTAATTTTACCATTGTTTCAGATCTTAGAGAGAAGGTTCTCGGTCAGCAAAGAGAAAAAAAACAATCCAGTGAGGAGTGGCGGCAGTGTGTGTTGGAAACTGGGGGAGCTACAGAAGAAGAGAAGAGATGGAAGGGAAGACAGGAAGACACCAGAAATAAAGGCAACCTACTTGATTATCCTGCCCATAGAAAGCTCTAACAAACTTATTTCAAGTGACACTTTGATTAGGTGCCAAGGACAGCCAGATAACTTCCTGGTCAGAGTACTCCTTGACTCCTTGACCCTTGCAACACAAAAGAGAGCTTGAGGCATGATTTCTGGAGGGAGGAATATTTTGCCTTTTAGTATTTTCTGCAAGAAAGAATGCTGGGCAAGAAAAACACATGAAAAAAGAAGTTTTCTTCCATCAAAATACAGGTCTTGAAGAAAAAACACAAGCTGGAATCTCTCTCCTCCATCTCTGTTACTGCCTTTCATACTCTACCTAAAGACCTTCGTGGTTTTCCATTGCTCCACAAAAACTTCTACCAGTAGAGCTGGGTCCTGTGAGCAATGTCTCATGAGCTATCTTTGTTTACATATTTAGTCTGACATGTTTTTGGAAGCCTTTATCTAGCAATATTCTAGCTGTTTACCTGTGTTCTCTGCTGTCATGATACTTATCCGGAGTTTGTGTAATAAAAATGTATTGCCAGTAGATAAGACAGGTAGAGTTATACAACAGGGAGTGCAAAGGCTTGGAAGCAAATCACTGCACTGCCAAATCTAGATCTGCCTCCCTCTAGTTCTGGACCATTGGGCAAACAACTCAATTTTCAGTGATCAATTCTCTAACCTGCAGAGTAGACAATAACCTACTTTACCAATCACTTATGAGAATAATGTAGGCGTTTGCTAGGGATTCAATACCACACCCTTACCAAGGACGTGTTTTCCTTTTAGACTTATATCAGCATTGTCTTCCTGGCAAATGACCCAGGATCACTTTAACCTGTTTGGTTCTTCAGACATAAAATGGAATTACAACAATAGACAAAAGAAAAAACATGGTAGCTTTTCCTTCTGCTCCCAGCCAGCTTCCAACTGTTTGTTATTCTCCTTAAAATATTTGTATAACCAACACTGCTTTACAATATTAACTCTAGTTTTAGCTTCTCAAATTTAATTGAGTTATACAACTTGAGAACCTTCAGTAATTATGTAATCTGATTGTCCTCGAAGATAATGGGAGATACAGGTGTGGTAGGTATGAATATCACTCCTCAAGACAGCAAACAAGTCAGTAAATGTCACATAACTTAGGTTTTTCCCAGTCAAATACAATCTGGTTCCGCCCTCCCTGCCCCTTCTCCACATGCTGACAAATGACCCAGGATCACTTTAACTTGTTTGGTTCTTCAGACATAAAATGGAATTATGACAATGGACAAAAGAAAAAACCCGGTAGCTTTTCCTTCTGCTCCTGGCCGGCTTCCAATTTCAACCTGAGTCCTTACTGGCTCTTTCTAGTAGGATGGGAAAATGGTACTGGGTGACAGGGCTTTACATCAAGCAGAATGTTTAATTACTCACTGCGAGGACACTGTGACCCCTTTGATTTTGATAATTCCACCACTTCCGTGTCATGCAAAGTCCTGCTTTAGGCTGTAAGGTCCACACTTTCTAAACATAGCTGCAAACTTTCTTTGGAGGTATTGTCCCTATATCACGGAGTGCTGGCAGACAGTGTGAGGAGAGGGCTCCCTGCTAATCAAAGAAATCTGCATGTTCTTATCCCTTCTCACCACCCCTTGAAGACTCAGGCTTTTAAAAAGAAAGGCCAGTGAGAGGGTTGTGCTCCATTCTTTCTGCTTTCCAGCTGGCAGTAGAAACTGCCTCTAAGTCTAGCGAGCACAAGGTCCAAGTTAGGCCTTTTTAGAAGCAGAGGGGCTGGAGAAATAGAAAATCAAGGTCAAAAGAGCTCATTTTCCATTTGTTTCAAAAATGCATACAGCAGGAAAAACTACAAATTCCTATCGGAAAAAGTGTCCTCCCGTATACTGATAAGTCAGAGTCCTATTAAGTCCTAAAGTGCGCCCACTCTGATAGGCAAAGAGAGAACTCCGCAAGCTACAGAAGGAAGCACGGAGCAGGTGGTGTGAGTGAATCACACTCTGACAGTGCTATGAGAATCTAGAGGGAAGAGAGGAGCGTGTGCCTGATTCCAGTCCTCGGAGACTGGGGATCCGCAGAGGGAATTTCATAAGCAGAGGCGAGAAAGTCATAGAACACATTGCCAGGACTGTGGCAGAATCGAACCTGATTCTTATTTTTTCAAGTAGCTGTGTCAGGAAGAGCTGAACGCTTGGAGTCCAAATAAATAGTGTGGCAGTGACTTGTATGGGAGATCAGCCCTGGGGTCGGGGCTGGGGGCTCAGAGGAGACTGAGGCCTGCAAGTCTCAGGTAAAGCGGGAGGGAGGAGGGGAAATGAATGGCTTATGGATTTTAAACCAGCTTCTTGTGGACGGGAAACCACACACAGGACAAGTGTAGGAGGCTGGACTATGAGACAAAACGACAAAGATGTGGAGTAGACATCAACTAAGGCAAAGACACTCTTTTTTGGTTTTTTTTGGTTCTTTTTCCGGTACTGGGAATCGAACTCACGACCTTGCGCTTGCCAGGCAGGCGCTGTGCCGCTGAGCTAAATCCCCAGCCCAGGCAGAGCTACTCTTTAACTGGTGGGGAAAGAAGTCCTGCAGTTGTGAAAGTTGGGGACCTGACTCTGAACTTTGGATTATTTTTTAAAAAGTCTGAGTAGTCTGTGAGGTTCATGAAGGTAAGGACTAAATCCAATATCTCTTAATATTGCACTAAAGTTTAAAAGAAATAATACTTGGGGCTACCAAGATTGTCAAGGATAGGGAAGTGGGTAAACAGAAAAACAACCAAGGAAGAAAAGAAGGGAAAAAAAGAAGAGAAAGAAAGAAAAGAGTTCAGACAAGAAACAGAAGACAGGGAAGAGATGAACTATCACAGATGAGGAAGGAGGAGAATTCAGGGAGGAAATGGCCAAGGAATGGCCGATGACATTCTTCAAATGATGGAGACACGTTTAGGGAAATGGATTGAGGAAAAGCCACAGATCGCGACCCTCCGGGTCTCCGGGAGACCCCTGGAGACCCTGTATGGCATAGCTCGGGTGAAATGGATAGGATAGAAGGCACCCAGGAGGATCACAAAAATAACAGGAAGTGAAATTCACTTGGCAGCTAGGCAGATGGTAACCAGGAAACTATACTGGCCCCTGTGGGCACTGACACCTACATACCGAGTTTCTCAATCAGGTGGCAGTGCTGGAGTTCTACCGGCTCCACTTCGCGAGATGCGTTCATTCTTTCTCTGTAGAAATTAAAAAACAACAACACAGGGCTCAAGGTATCATATCCAAAATCAATATCTAAACACAGCCTCTAGAGACCTCCATATTGATTAACTTTTTATCCTCGCTATGTGCACAAAGTATTTATATAAGCTAACTTCACTTTTATTGCTAAAATACTATTATACATGGAACATATTTTCCTGTCCAAATGAAAGACACTTTTCATGGTATAAGTAACTAAACATTATGAACATAAGTGCCCCAAATAGCATTTTAAAATTTTCTAAAGCAATGTTTATCATGAATCTGAATTTCTTCCTTTCATTGCTATCATCTTGCTTTTTTACTCTCCCCCTAAAAAACTACATTCCCAAAATTTCAACAGTGTCTGAAAAGCTAAGTCCTGCAGCTCTTGCTTTATTATTTTTATGTGCCGATTTACTTTGCAAACATACAAATTCATTACACTCACCACCATTTAAACAATCAGTGAAATTTATTTTTCAGTGCAATGTTCTTCCTTCCACAGTGAAATATTCTTATAAATATTATGGATAACTTAACATTTCTATGAAACTCTATTCCAGAAGACTTGGACTAATCGTTCAATCACTTATAAAAATACACAGTAGGGCTGTGGGTGCTACTCAGTGGTAGGATACTTTCCCTGCTGTCCCTACCCCCATACCTGCCCCCCAAAACCGTAAATCTAAGCATTATTATTTTATGATCCTGTCTCTGAGTTGTGCTGGGAGGAAATGTAACAATAAGCAATCTCAAGCTGAACTAGGAAGCACTGCCCACAGGCATCAGGCTGCTCAACAGATCCTAGACATGGAGCCTCAGAGGGCAAAGCAAGGAATGAAAACAGCTCAGAGACAGTGGAAGGCCAGACCAGGCTCGGGAGTGTCTGTCCCTAGCTCAAGGTCCTTCTGTCTAGCCCAGTGCTGACTTTCCCTGGCACATGGCTGGAATCCGCAGGGTTTATCGCAGGCTCTTCCACCCCGAAAGGCCAAGTCCTTCCAAAATGCCACCTGCAGGCTGCAGCTCTTTTACCCCTCTCTCGGTCTGGCATGGGGTCTGTAGCCCAGTGTTTGTCACTGTCTACGCCAGCATTTAGGGGGCAGCCTGGTCCCCTCCCACAAGCCCAGAGCCTCCAAAGCCCTGTAGTTCCCACAAGGAGAACGCTGAAGGCAGCGCGGAGAGGGGACAGACCTGACCCTCCGAAGGCAGAGGTAGCCGTCTCCACCCTCCCGTTCCAGAAAGGCAACCAGCCCCCCAGCTGTCCCTCCCTGCAGGCGGTTCTGGGACAGTCCCGGCTGCAGCAGGCTCCCAGCCGCACCTTCTCGCTGGCTGGGACGGGCGGCAGCCAGCCGTCGCGGACCTAACCTGGGGCACAGGGGGAGCACGCCTGGTGGAGATGCCCACTCACCTAAACGCCGAAAACCTCTGCCCCAGGAAGGCCAGGCTGGCCCCCAGCAGGGTCAGCGTCGCCAGCTTCCCCATTGTCTCTGTGCGCACGGGGCCCAGCAGCGCCTCGCACTCGCTGCTCCGGGCTCGCACCGCCCCAGCCCGGCCCGGCCCGGCCTCAAGGGGGGCGGGCAGGGCGCTGCCCGCGTGCACTGCGCCGGGCGCGGGCAAGGTCACGGGCAAGGTCACGGGCAAGGTCACGGGGCTGGTTCCCGGGGAGCCGCCCCCTGAAACTTCCACGCGCGGCTTCTAAGGCCACGTTTCCGCGCGGGACCTGTCCTCTGCTCCCTTCTCCCCGCCTCTCCTCCTCTCCTCCCTCTTTCTTTCTTTCCCGCCTCCCTCTCATCCGTTCTCCCAAGAGTTCAGTGACAGCTACGGTTTGGCAGACATGCACCGGTCGGTTGGTCGACCAGACCGGATGGACCAAGTTTGCTTCTAAAAGCCCTGAAATTCGACCTCACTTCCTAAGCGGACTGAGGGCTGCAGGGCAGGGCAGGCTCAGGAGAAGCCAGATTTCACAGCCTGAAATTTGGGTTTCTGGCAGGCCACCTTTCACTTTCACTGGCCCTTCTTCAAGATTTGAGACCCAGAACCTGGTCTCCCGGCCCTCCTGCCCACCCGCTCCTGTCCGGGGGCTGAGTGCCAACCTGCTCTGGGAGAAACAAAATAGAAAGGGGAAGATGAGGCCAGGGGAGAGGGTGCACTCCTGGAAATCCTAGAACAGAGCCGAGACCTCGCTGAGCGTATGGACTAGGTGGTGTGATCATTCTTCAAGTCTTATTAATCATTTTCAGATAACGTTTGGCCTTGCACTTTGAGTTTATTAGATCACGTCACCTGGCGCTGAGAATCTGGGGAAGGAGCCTATATTCTCACCCACATCTAATCTTTGAGATGACAGTCAGCAGAAAGGCCTCGGCCGTAGGCCACTTTGACTGTGAAGAGGCCAGAGTCCATCAGTGTCACAAAAGGGGCTTGTTGTCATTGAAAGAGCAGACAAACTCAAGTCCATTTGTAACTGGCTCCTTAATCTTTAGAAATTACCTATCACCCTGGGCCTTTCTTTTCTTATGTGTACAGTTGGGCTTTTCAAAGAGCTGACATGGACCAAATAAAATGTTCTGAAAAATAAGTACTGAAAACCGTTCTGAAAAGTAAGTACTACGATATTTGCATCCAGTTAGTCCAACACCATCGATTATCAGATTATCAGAACGCCATTCAGGGGTATGCAGAATGCACATACGGGGACTGATGTATTACATGAAGGCACAGAGACAATTTAGGCACAAACAAGAGTAGTGACTTCAGGAGCAGCAGCTTGAGGTCACGGGGAACTGGCAGGTCAGTGAGGAGGGAGCCCTTGTTTTTATGTATGGCCTCCTGTGATATTTGAAGAATTGAAGCCATTTATCTTGATGCTATTTACGACTGAAAAATGCTTCATTAAAAAATGATTGTTCGTATCAGTGATTCTCACCTAGAAAAAGTGGTGATGGAAGAAGAGAGTGACAAGAAGTCAGAAGAGACTTTGAGTGTGTCTTCATAAAGCTGTTCTTTACGAGGATACAGGTTTCAGATGATTAGGAAACATTGTCCTACGTCATAGAGAGCAATGTATGGACCTGGATATGGATAACTAGATGTCCTTGGTATGTGTCTTGTGCTGCATGGATGAGAAAAATCTAGAAGACTATGGAGGTGTATTACTTCAAGAATATGATACGTTCGAGTTTAAATAAAATTCTCAATTCCATTCTGTGGATACACCTAATATGCAGTTGCATGGTGAATGTCTGATATCTTCTTCAGTTACTTCCTGTGTCCCGCCATGGAGAACGTCTATCCCCACTGCGGTGGACCGACACCCGGTGGTCAACTTGTAACACCCAGCTGAACTGAACCAGCGTGGTGCTGTGTGTGGGAGGCCCACCCTAGGGTTGCTGCCGGCAGCATAAGAGGCAGAACTGGAAAAGAAGAGGAGAAGCTGCTGGGAAGTTGCAGGGAGCTGTTGGTTTTTGTGAAGGAGATCGTCATGCTGGCTTTCCTGATGAACTCGGCTGCTTTCATCCTTGAAATGAGCTGGGGACCTTATTGACAATGAAAATGGCTGCAGTTCACTTTGGGGGAGCTCTGGTCCTCACTTTGAGCATCCCTTCCTGGATCTGGAGGGAAAGATGGTGCACTGCTCAGTCTCCTGGAGAAGCCTGTTGGCTTTCCTGATGGGAACTCAGGTGTTCTCATCGTTGGAGGAGCTCAGGACCTCATTGGTGCTGAGGATGGCTGTGGTACTTTTAGGAGGCGCTCTGGTTCTTATTTTAAGCGTTGCTTCCTGACTCCTGTTCAGATCTCTCAGCCTGCTGGCACAGATCCTTCATCCCTCTGGCAAAGACTTTCTAGTTTCCACCACTGACCTTTGGGTCTTCCCAGTGCAGATTTGTAAAACAGGCCTGTATAAGGCACTGTCATGGGCTCTTGGCCTCCAGTTTGACTCATGGAGGGCACCGTTATGGGCTCTACGTCTTTAGCTGGACCCACGCAGGACATTATTGTGGGATCCAGGTGCTCAGCTGGATTCTTTGGTCTTCAGTGTGTGGACAGATTTCCTGCACTCTTTTTGTACATGACATTTGGGTAACTACTATAAAATAACGTATATATGAAGTGCCCTGTATTGTACTGTTTCCCCTTGTAAAACCCCAAACTACAACACCCACTCAGGACCTCAGGTACAGCCCGCAGGGTGCTTAAAGTCACCTGCCCTGGGTGTATGTGGTAACAAGGAGCACCAGACCTTGTTCACGTTTCAGTATCTTGGTGACAAGTGAACGGGAAGAGTTTCAAAGTGACCAGAGAGGTCCCTTTCCAGATGAATCTACACTAACTCTTCTGAGGATCTTTCATCGCTGTCCTATAGTCCCCCAGTGACAAAACATATTATGATACTCGAGTCAATATGTGCTTAGTAGACTAGACTGCGTGAGCAGGGGAAGGCTTAGCGGGGCAGAAGGGCGGCGAGGCTTGTAGGAAGAGGGCCACAGCATGTGTAAGTATGGGGAAACTGAAACAGCAATAAAACCTGTCCCGGATATGGGTAAAGCAGTGGCTCTTGAACTTCAGCAAGCCTAAGAATCTCCTGGAGGGCTTACTCAAGCTCACAGTACTGGGTCCTGCAGCCAGAGGCTCTGTTTTGCTAGACTTGGGCTAGAACTTGAGAATGGGCGCCTCTAAAAAGTTCACGGATGATGTTACTGCTGATCAGAGAACACATTCTGAAAACCACGGAGCGTGAAGGACTGGGAGGTAGACGTGAGACCTGTATCTGGAGAGATGGGTAAGGATTACAGGCCAAGTTCAGAAATTTGAATGATATTGTAGAGGGCACTGAGAAATCATTGGAAACAACATAGCCCAGCAGATATTTTAGAAGCATTACTCCACACTGACGAGAATGGATGGGGGACGGATGGAGGGCTTGCCTATCCTGGAAGCATAGTTGGAAGGTAACTGGAGGATAGCTGGGAGCCTTCCTGAGAGTTGACTGGGTGAGATATGAAATAGTGACTGGCGAAGATATAAAGATTTTTTTCCCCAATGTCCTTAGAACTGTATGGATCTGAGAAATATGGGGGGCGGGGTCTGAACATATTGGATTGGCTAGATGTGGGCAGAGGGGTGGAAAGGAAGAGGAAAAACTGAAGGAAAAATATTTAGACTTACAGAACCCGGTGGAGAAGAGTGTGTTCATGGATGTGGGACCTGTTGTAGTTTGGGGTTTTGCAAGGGGAACAATGTAATACAGGATACATATTTTATAAGATTATTTATAATAGTCACCAAAGGAATCATATACAAAAGAGAGTGCTGGAAATCTGTCCACACACTAAAGACCCAAAGAATCCAGCTGAGGGCCTCGACTGCACAGTAATGTCCTGTATAAGTCCAGTTGAAGACCTAGAGCCCATAACAATGCCTCCCAGGAGTCCAGCTGGAGGCCTTGAGCCCATGACAATGCCTCATGCAGGCCTGTTTCACGGATCTGCACTGGGAAGGCCCAAGGGTCAGTGGTGGAAGCTAGAAAGTCTGTGCCAGCAGGATGAAGGATCTGTGATAGCAGGCTGAGGGATCTGCACTGGAGCCAGGAAGCAGTATTGAAAGTGAGAACCAGAGCTGCCCTGAAAAGTACCACAGCCACCCTCAGCAACAGTGAGGTCCCGAGCTCCTCCAATGATCAGGAAAGCGGAGGTCCCATCAAAAAGCCAAAATGACAAGCTTCTCCAGGAGTCTGAGTAGTACACTATCGAGTCCAGAGCCAGGAAAGGATGCTCAATGTAAGGACCAGAGCTCCCCCAAGGTAAACTTAGCTGTTCTCAATGACAACGACATCCCAAGCTCCTTCGATGATGAGCAGCTGAGTTCATCAGGAAAGCCAGCATGACAAGGTCCTCCAGCAGAATGGCCCAAGAGAACCTGCTGCTCCCTAACAGCTTCCCAACAGCTTCTCCCCACTCCCAACAGCCTCTCACAGCCTCCCCTCTTCTTCTCCCGTTCTGCCTCTTAGGCTGGACACCTGAATTCTAGCTCTCCAGGCTTCTGGTCACAGACGAGATAACCTGCCAGCTCCAACTTTTATCTCTTCTTGTACCCAAGGTGGACTTCTATTTGGGAACAGAACGGATGGAACAATTTCCCTACAACTTGAGAATCTAAGTTTCAGTATTTAGTTGATTTTATGTGTTTGTTTTATATTTTTTGAATAACGGGCCCCTTCATGTCCAGCTTCCAATGACAGAAACTTACACAGCTGTGCCTCTCTGGAGGAAATCCCACAGGACGTGGCCACTTCCCATTCGGAGGACACGCCTTGAGAATGAAACACATACACAGCTTGGATTTCAGTTAGTCTTTAATATAATTTCACCTGTTTAATAGTAAACAAAGATGTAAATACAAAACTTCAAAACATTATCTGTCAGTAGTTCTGAATGCTCACAGTAGTCATAAGGTGGGAGCTGAGGTCACTTAACATTTTTAGGAAACAACCCGTCCTGTGTCAGCGGACTCCTGTTCTGTAGCTGTAAGGCAAAGTGACGCTCATTTTGGGCAAAGTGTGCTCACTTTACAGGAAGGCAGTTTTCTTTTCTCTCCCTCGTCTGACATTAAAAAAAAACTTCACTTTCCTTTTGTGTTAAAAATGCTATAAGAATTGGAGACTTTCCTTGCTGAAATAATAAAATTAACTATATACGTAATACAGATCTGGGTCAATATTGCTGGTTAAATTCCCTCAAAATGAGCAATTCATAGAAAATTAATTGTTAGAGGTTATCACACTTACATACCAAAACTACAACTTAGAGTTCACAGTACAAGGCTCTGTGGTATAAAGTGCCGATGAGCAGCTTGCCATCGTAAACTGAAGCCACAGAACTCCCCTGGAGGACAGATCCATTGTTGGCATAAACTGTAGACACTGTAGGCTTCTCCGACAGAATGTTCTGGATGCGCAAAACCTACTCAAGAGATACAAAGGATGAATAGAGAGCACTACACACCCACGTCACTCAGCCACCAATAAGCCCTCTTTACCACAATGACCTGATGATTAAGTGATCATGCTGTTGAACACAGTGGTTCCCAATCTTTTTAATGCTTAAATTGATGTACTTTCTCAAACCTTTAAAGAAAGTACTTTAAAAAACCATCTCGCTATGCCATGCCAACACAGGATTTAGTGTTATTATGGAAATCCAGCATTAACAGAAATACTAACACACTAATGTGCCCACCTGCACTCTATTCAACATGAACGAAATCCTGTCATGTAGTGATCTGACAATAAACCAGATATTTTAAAAATTGCCAGTGTACTACACCAGGACACGTCTTTATAGAAACGTCTTTCACTGTTTCCACCATAATTCAGTGCATCAAAAGATTATCTTTCTTAAAGCATCTGAACAACATAATATTCTGCCAATTATTGGCTTAAGGCAATTACAAAACCGCTATGCAAGCTTGTTGTATTATTGGTTTAAAAGAACTAATAAATCGTCCGTAAGACAGCTTATTGTCTTGCTAGTTCAAAAGGACTTGAATAATTAAGGTTGAAAAACAAAAAACATAAGAACCTCTGATGAGGGAGGGTTGTTCGGGTCATACACGAATAGCTTCTGGCCATTAGGATGACAGCCGGCCCAGATGTCTCCCGAGAAAGGGTCGATAGATAAATTATCCACCAGGGTATCCAATGGGAGTACCTTCCAAAGGAAAAGATATCAATAGCTAGATGACATTAGCAACCCGATTAAATAATTTAGAGCTAACCTTTCCTGCCTCTACGGATATAGGGAAATGACATGTATTTCCCTGCTTCCACCCATGTAACACCAATGTTGCTTAAAATAATTTTAATAAACTGGTTTGGAGCTACATTTCATCTTATCTGAAATTAAGAAAGTTAGACTGATAATCTAACTTTCTTAAAAGATGCATAATGATCAGTTAGCTCAAGGAACTCCATCAAAGCAAGGTAAAAAATGTTTAATCAACCTAAAGTAAGTGTTGTCAAGCAAGTAGAAAATAATAATGGTGTGGAACTCAGTGTTTACCATCATTTGTTATGAAAGAACTGACCATGAGCATAAATCTTCGTTGGAAAATTCATCTGTTAGTCTTTTCAGTTGTGAAAATTCTTATTGGAATTCTTTGGATGCTCTCAATACTTCATGGAATGAGACCTAAATCTGATGCAAATATCACTCAACCTGCAGCTGCATATAATTATAGTTGGTCTTTGCGATTGCTGGGAACAGGAATTTCAATTGTTGTATGGAGGTAAATTTAAAAACAAAATAGCTAAATTGGCATCTGTGTTTTAAGCACGGTATTATTATAACTACAATACTGCAAAGCATAATGCATTAATGTCTCTGTTTAAAAATATTTACCTTTGATTGAGTTAAATTCATATCCGGTTGTTTTTCCAGAACATGAATTTCATGAGCCAATATGTCAGCCACATAGATGTACCTTTACAGAAAGGACATACTGGTTAGCGTTTCCTGCCAATAGAAAGCTTCAGAATAGCGTATAAAAGAATCAGTCTTAATAACCTGCCAAGAAGTTAATCAATGATGAGCCCTTAAGGAATGTTTGATAAAGGTCAGTTTTTATTTAAAAAATAAGCTTTCAGAATCAATTCAGTGGTACCACAACAGTGCGGGATTATTAAGTTATTTTTTAAAGGGTCTGTAATAAAAAATGACATCAATTGGAATATAAAGTTCATGATACTTGCCACTGAAATGACAATAAAACAAATATTAAGTTTACATTCCACAGTGTGACTTGATATTCCTATTACTTACATACAGGAATATACGGCACAGAACGCATTTTATTAAAATTGTTATTAATGTTAATATTTAATAAAATATTAATTTATGGAAAACTTCAAGAGCAAGAGATAGGGATCTATCCAAATCAATCTGTCTACACCTATGGGTGTGGGGAGTTAATGAATTATCTTAAGGCGAGTTTAGTCGCTCAAATGATGTTTTCCTGGCAACTGCACCATTGCGTAACCATGTGTAAAGCCATGAACTTAGTGTGGTGGTGAAAAAAAGCATGAAGCAGACAGCTTCTTCCCGTAGAAGCTTACAGTGTGATGGGAGGGTCACAGTTTCAGCAAACCTGAGACCCCCAGGTCAGTATGGTTGGTAGCATGATAAATAGTCCAGGTCTATCTACAGACTAATTAACAATGCAGTGACGTAATGACGTATGGTCAGCACAGTTCAACAATTACTGAGCATTTGCTCTGCACGCGGTGCTGTCCTTGGCATGTGGAGTCAAATGAAGACCAAGCTCCCACTCTGGGGACTCCTTAAAGGTTAATGATCCAAAGAAAGGCAAAACTGGCAAGAGTGCAAAAGATGGAGGTAGGTGGGAAAGAAACCGGAATGAAGTATCAGGCAGGCGAGCCAAGAGAACGAGAATTAAAAGCAGGTAAATGTCAATGGGGTGAGTATAGGTGAAACCAACAGGACTTGCTCCCTAGCTGGATAAAATTGGAGGAGGCGTCAGAGCAGAACCCTCTTTTCCTTGCTCTTACTATTCAGCTTGCGTGTCTCAAATATGAGAGTTGGGGGCAAAAACAGATTTGGCTGTTGAGGCTGGATCAGGTTAGTTAGTGATGACTTAAGTTGTATGACTGATTCTACGTCATTTCATGTAGTCAACAAGAAAAAAGAGAAGCTGCATCACAGGAATGAGGACATTTATTTGTTGAGGACTGCCACATTTATTCTGTCATAACTGTAGTAATTTAAATTGTTGCCTAGGCTAAGGTTAGTAGAAGAGAAAGTCAATAAAGAACTTAATATCCTTTCTTGTAGGTTGTGATTGCACAAATAATACTAAGGGAAGTTTTAGGAGACAATTTGGCAATCTCTATTAAAATTAACATTTAAAGGGCACTATTTGAACAAGTAGTTCTACTTCTGTGGATTTGTTCTATGGAGAGAATTGTACAAAATGTGTCATGGGGCCAGTGTCCCAGCTGGGATTTGAACCCAGGTCAGTAAGAGTCCAAAATCTGTTATTGTAGGGAGTTTTTCCTTAAAATATTTGGATAAGTTCTGCTGGTAAACGAGAAATTTAAAATGGAGTACATAAAGGAAAAGAAATAAACAAAACCAGACTACAGGAGCAGTTAATGATTACTTGTTTGATCAATCTTGTATGTCTCTATTTGTTTTCCTGAGAAAATACTTTGAAGATACCAATAAGTAATACAACAACCATGGTTAATTTCCTACAACTGTGTCTGTAACTCTGTTTTGTTTGTATTGTTCCTATGCTATTTTGTAAATGGATGTCTGTCCATTAATATGTTATCCTTCTTTTATTTTTTTAAAGAAAAAAACCAGAAAATTGGTTAAATTACTTTAAGATTATCCTTATAATAGAATAACATATAGTCACAAAACAGTTTTGTTTTGAAAGGAATTATCTACCTTATACTTTACTATGAATATGTAAATATGATCCTATTTTATTAAAATTTACATTTATAAAATTAAATTTGACAATGATATATACCTAAATTTATATACATTTTGTATGTATGTGTATATATATATATAAAATAGGTAAATACTTCTACATAATAGGTAAAGACATATGATTATTATACGTAAATATGTCATATATATGAGACTATATAAAAATGTCAATAGAGCTATTTTTAAATAGAAAAAAAAGCAAGGAATTAGGCCAGTGGAATGACTTTGGAGAGACCAAGATGTTCTGTAAGGGGTCATACTTTTTATCAGGTGAAATATTGATCCCATTTGCTGAATCAAATCCTTCTGCTACTACTTTAACTTCATTTGGACTATAGTAAACCACATTGGCCCAGTGTAAGTTCAAGTATGTCTCCAAATACTTTAAGAAAGGATCAGAGAAGTAGTGGTCATTGGTAGCGTAGAAATGCATTGGTCCAACAGCTATGACATCATTTGTACTGAAAGAGAAAAATAACATGTGAGAGAAAATACATGTAAGTGTTGATTTCCATATTAAAGGTTAGGTATTCATAAGGCTTATATGAAATGTTTTCAATTTTTCCTAAGAGGGTTTCCAGGAAAAGAGGAGCTAAAATCAGATGGCTAAATTCACGTGCAATATAGTATAATATTATTTCCAAGTGGACAGTTGTGTATGGTAGCAGGTAATTTTGAGGGCAGGTCATTTAGCAATTACAGCAAAATCATTATTAAAGCAAAGAGAACTTGGTGCCATTAGGGTCGGTTTTGTGATGCCAGCAATGCTGGGCTTAGCACCCACAGGTCAGGACAAGGCTTCCATGTCACAGTGCTGGCTAGAGCGTAATTGGCTGTGGGATGGTTAGCTGTCCGTCCATACCATTCACCTCACTCCCATTTACCCAAGGTGCTAGGTTTTCTGAGGTCCCTCTCTTTGTTATTAGTCAAACTAAGGTTGACTGCTCAATTTCTACCTGCCTCACATAGCCCAGACTGAACAGATACTCAATAAGCACTTGCAGAGATGGATGATGAAACTGTTGTAGTACCACGCTTCAGCTGGAGATTGATAGCTAAAAACAATTACATTTTAAAACCAGTTAGGCGAGGGTGCTATTAAATTTGAATCTCAATTTTCCTATGCAAAAATTTCTGCAAGAGCTGCCTTCTCCCTTGTCAAGTGAAAAATACAGAGTTATATGGAAAGTGGGTCTCTCTTTTTCTGAAAGAACTCCACATTTCAGAGGTTGCCTATTTCTTATGGTACTGATGATCCTGTTTATTATGAAGTGCCTTTCTGGGAAGGATGATTGGAAGTTACATGCTTATACCTTAGACAGGAAGGTAGAAATTAAAAATCCCCATCAAATTTAAACAAAAAGCAGATGGCTAACGCAAGCTGAGCTGGAGGACACACAGCTGTCATTTAGTCATATTATACACCAGTGCTGTGGTCTTGGAGTAGGAGTGACCCATTACCAACTGGACTGCCTCCAATTCTGCAGGACCAATTAGTCCACAGCCACCACTCACCTGTGAGAGCGCTCTGTATAAAAAAGTCTCCTACTAACCAGGCTACTTTTCCTTCCAGGACAGGGGTGTGGGTGTTGGGTCATCTAACAGGAGGTAGGTAGCAAGAGAAAATGGTAGTCCTTGACTTCTACTCTCACAAAGAGTACTGTCTGCTAGTTCTGGATTTTATCACTTCTCAATGGGGTCTACATAGTTCTGATTGTTATAAAGAGTGACATCAACTTTCAAATGCCTGCTTTCTTTGATCCACAAGGAACAGTGCGTGTGTGTGTGTGTGCGCGTGTGCCCGTGTGTGTGTGTGTGTGTGTATACACACACGGGATGAGTGCTGCTTATCTGAAATGCAGATGTGCTTCTGATTTTCAGTACTTTTGGATTCTGAAATATCCATATATATGTAATCTGTATCTTAGGGATGGACCCTAAATCTAAACACAAAATTCATTCATGTTTCATATGTACCTTCGGCACATAGCTGGAAAGCAGTTTTATACACTATTTTTGAAAATCTGTGCATGAAGCATTTTCCACTTGTGGTATCATGGTGGTCCCCATTGAGTTTTAGATTAGGGAGCATTTTGGATTGTGAATTTTTAGGTTAGAAATAAATGCCCAATGTGTATAAATACACACACACCTATATGAACTCTCATAGTTAATATGTTATATATTAGATTTTATATTGTATGAGCTAATATACATATTAGCTCTTTAAAAAGCGAAAGGGTCACCCATCACAATGGAGCATGTTTGAAACACTAGAGATGAACTAAATGAACAAAAGGGAGAAGGTACCTGGGAAGAAGCTCATGTCTGATCGTTTTCAGGTGCACCAGAGAATTTTCTTCTTCTTCAAATTTAAAAATTTCTACAGTATTCTTGAATTCAGGGTGGTTTACAACAAAGAGATAAACCGTGTCATCTAAAGAGTAGAAAGAACAGAGTTAATTTACAAGAGGTCATAACCATAGGACCTCTGGGCAAACACTGACATTCAAATACCACGGCCAAGGAAAGGCTGAATGTACAAGCTGTGGGTCGCCCTAACAGGTCATTCTCCCCAGACCTGCCCCGCACTGTCTGGTGTTATTTCTGACCATTGGTCCCTGACCTTTAAGAAAGAGTGTTTTCTACTGTATACACAGAATTTATGCATAATCTGTTTACAGCTTAATTCAGAAATACAGCTCTTTTCAATACAACGATTATAGGTTTATGAAAAGGTTATGAAATCTAAACATTCTTTCAAAAGGCAGCATAGCACGCAGCTGGCTGAAGAGACAGCATACTATATGAAGAACAGAGGAATAATTCACGGATTACTGTCCTACCATATGATCCAAATCTATTTCCCATCACTTGTAAGCCATTTCTTGTTTCTCGGCAGTGCTATCTTACCAGCCCTTACCGGTGTCTATGAACGTGCTGATGCCATGTGGATTAAATGAAGCCAAATCAAACCCTCGGCTGATTCTTAACTCTAGTGCCCTGGCTTTCTCTTCGTTGAGATCCATCATCAGTATGCCTCCGGGCTTATTTGGTGCAAAGCTGTGGAGTCCTGGAAATTTAAGACCCTTCCCCAAACAGTGAAAAAATTAAATACAGAAGTGTAAGTACTTCGGTGGACTAAAGTGGGAACTCCGCTGGGAGGATAAATACAGCCTTTGGTTAAAGGTGATGGCATAAGCTATAAACACAAAAGGAACAGAAGACAATAGAAAAAACAATAATTAGGAGCTGGAAAGCTGAACAGTAACTAGGATACGATGAAAAAGCAAGGATCCATTTTATGCAGAAACTGGACAGAACAGGAAATCCTTTAATTGTTAAAAATCCATGTACAATTGCACACTTGCAAGGCTAGCAACTCTGGGAAGTAGAATAAGCCGGAATTATGCTACTGCTCCGTGGCTGTGCCACTTTAGCTATTAATAATTTCCACTCTACTAATGTCGCCAAAATAACAGCATAGTTTACATGCACAGGAACCACTGCTAGACAGTAATAATTACTCATGGTTCCCTTAACACTTCCTATTATTTAAATCTTTAATCTTTTAAAATATATTTTATTTTTAATTGTGATAAGACACAATATTCAATTCACCTTTGTTATCATGTTTGATGTTCTGTTCTTTGAATCAAACCCTCACCAATGTTAGTTTTGAGGTGACCCTCAAATTCAAACCTGGGATGGGTCAGATGAGCTAACATGTTAGGAAGAAGAAGAAATCACTTCCATGATGTATGAGCGATTCATTTAAAAGGAAAGGCATGCTGGGAAGTGCTGGAGGCAATGCTGAGCATGTGAAAAAGAGCAATAAAATGGCTAGGAGACCTCATTCCTTATTCAAAGTTATTCCTACGGGGGCAAAACTCTTGCAACACGTAAGTTCAGAATTACACAAATTTCCAGCAACACGTCCTTGCAACAAACAAAGAAACAACAAAGCACCTGAGGCAACTGCCTTCTACTTGAGTCAGGCTTTCTGCATCTCTAGTCATTTTCTTCACGCCTATAGCCGCACACTTCTAAAGAAACCCAGCATCCTACTATAAATATCACCTGATTCACTCTGTGTAGGCATTTAGATGAAACTTTACTTTGAAAACCGTATTTTGAAAGTTAAATATAAATATTGATGTTTCTGCTGAAACCCATGGTATTTCTTTTTCCCTCTGCGGTAATAACCAGCTGCTCACAGTCATCTAAAATCCATCAGAAACCTGAGGAGTGTTCTAACCCTCATTCTCTTCCAAGCTGAGTTCTCTCACCTTTCTTATAAGTCTGACAACTATTTTATTAGTGTTGCAGCTCCCTTCCAAACCACCTCCAAGCTTTTCACATCCCTCCCAAGTTTCACAGCCTGAAAATAATGGATGTTGAGAGAGAAGAGAATAATTTCAGGCAGGCCTTAAAGCCAGGTACCTCTTCCTCAGGAAAACTAGAGCCAAGGAAGTTACAAAGGGCTCATACCTCAGCCAGTCCGGGAAAGGCGTGCTTATTTCACTGGTGTACTTGTGTGAATTTCTAGTTAGGATGGATATGGGTGCAGACCAGCAGCGGACAACCCATCCAGTTTTAAAGTATTGCATGCTAAGAAGGGATACTACTTTTCAGCTTTTAAGGTAAAAATGAAGGGTATAAGGATACTTGGTGACTTTAAGTTTATGCTAGGTTATACAGGGAAAAAGAGAAAGAAAATAATATCAGCTTTGGTTTGTTAAAGCTGCTATAATGAAATATAACAAATATGAATATGGGGGCTGGGGATTTAGCTCAGCAGCAAAGCGCCTGCCTGGCAAGCTTAAGGTCGTGAGTTCGATTCCTGGTACCGGAAGAAAAGACAAAAAACAAAACAAAACAACAAATATAAATATGTAAAAATGAAAATGCTTGAAAGTGAATATGTCACAGAAAGGGTAGATGCTATACTTAAAATAGTATATTAGTAGGTGTGCTATAATACTAATTAATAGATACAGTGATGGTTCCAACATCCATTTTAATAACATTTTTAAAACACTGATTACACTGGGATATGCCAGTGAGATGTAATGAGCAAATAAACAACCATAAGTTAATTGGCAAAGACTCTTCATCCCTACATTCAGAAAAGCTTGAGGAAGTTTTCCAAGATCCAGTTTAATGAATTTTTTTCCAGAACATATTCTGGAAAGTGAGGAATTTTAAAAGCAAAGTGTCACTCTACAGGACTGCCGCCCCTCCTCTGCACTTGGGAGACGAACGTGATACTCACCACGCTAAAGAAAGCCAGGCCATTGGGAAGAATGTCAATATCTTCAGCGCCAGCTTCTGTAATTCAAGGAGTAGGAAAATGTCATTTTTCAAATTCTGTTATTTGCGGTATGACTTATACCTATGAGTTATTTTACCAAAGTCTGTATCTTTAGGGAAGGTTCTGTTTTTTTAATACACCATTTTCTTTAATTAATGTCTGTCTAAGCCATTTCTTAAAATGAACTTCTGACTTCAAATGTTCGATACTTTGTGTTTACTCAAATCAAAGTCAAGTTATCACTGCATTTCTTACTTTAATACAGAAAAAGTTGACATCTGAACACTCTTAGGATAAACACCCAGATGTCTGTAAGGAGTAATTGACACCAGGGGAATAAGATTTGCAGAAGAGAGAGCTCACAGGCATTTAACCATGCAAATATCCTTGTCCTCCTCTCTGCTCTTTCAATCTGAAGCAAAAAGACGTTTCTCTCATTAACAGAGAAAAAACACCTGGGAGTGCATATTCCCTCTCAAACAAGTGCCCATTTGTTCTGATAAGCAAAGAAAGCTTTCTCTTTGGGCTTTACATTTAGGCTCTAAATTATATGAAAAATGAGGGGAACACAGGAAAATTAATGAAAAATACCATGCACGTAAGTCAGTTGGAGCTTCTAACTCCTACCTCTCAAGCAGGCTACAGTTATCATTGATTATTTATTGGCTGTCTACAGCATACTTCACGTCGCACAGCGAATAATTAGACGTAAGACCTCCCGGCAATCTCACTGTATAGATTCCACAGACCAATAATAGACCCAAATACAAGAAGAGTAAAAAATGGCTTAGATTAAGCCAAGTCATGACACATTCTCTGAGCTTACAAAATCCAGTCTACCTCTTTAAGACCTCTCCACAGGATTTCTCCAAGATTATTTTTACATTGTCAAAAACAAACAGCATCTATCTCTCTGGCCACTTTGGTTCTGATTCATGAATCTGTATTTTTTAGCCAGTTGCTTCTGCTTTACTATACTCCAGAAAAGCAGAACAAAAGAAGAACGCTCAGAACTGAACTTTATAAAGATGACCCATTTGCCTATGCCTTTGAAAGAAAATATCTATAAAAGCTCAGGCACGGTGTGTATTAGAAGGGGCCTGTAGACTCTGAAGCCCCAAGTTGGTTTCAAAGAATCTGTAGACCTTCTGAAATTATAGGTATTGCCAAAATCTGTGTATGCTCAGATGAGAACTTTTCTGTGGAAACGGTCCTCAACCTTTAGTAGATTCAAAGAAGGATCTGATTCCCCGCAAGAAAGTTAAGAACCACCAGATTACCCAGAGTAATTTGAAAGTCAGGAGTGAACAGGGATAAGAACTCTAACGCGTGCACGCACACACACACACACACACACACACACATACACATACACACTCACACACAATTTCAGACCAAGTTTTCCTTTCTGGACCCATTTAATTGGAGCTCACCTAATTACAATTCAGTTTTTTCCTAAAACAATTATTTAAGCAAATTTAATTTCAATGTATATGCTTGTACATATAAAAAATTAACAATGCCTCTTTGGCTGGTAGACTTATGAGCGATTTTCATTTTCTTTATACTGTTTTTAAGATTTCTACAGGGGAGGGGTGTAGCTCAGTAGTGGAATGCATGCTTAGCATGCTTGAGGCCCTGTGTTAAATCCCCAACATCAAAAATAAATGAATAAAATTAAAAGACAAAAATTCTACACATTTTAATATTGCTTTATCAAGAAAAGAATAGTTTAAAAGAATAGTTTTGTTTCAACCACATTGTAATACCATTCTGTTTGATTCCATTACCTGAGTCCAGTGAAGAAAACGAGTCTTATCTGTAGCCTACTTTGGAACAATTTCCACATCAACCTGCCCACCTTCATTTCTATACCCAGCTAAACAATGAGATTTTATCATTGCGTATCACCATGTTGGTGTGATTACTGCAACAGCAGTCACTGCTACAGAAACTCTTTTTCCTACTCTAAGTCAGTAATAATAGTAATAATAGCTACCAATGAACACTAAGTGTTTATCAAGTACCAGGCCCTTTGTAAGTACTTTACACACAATATCTCATGTAATTTTGTAATGCTAAGAGGCAGTATTATTAACCCTTATTTTAAGTATGAGAATACAGAGCCTTTGAAAAGTTCAGCAAATTGCTCATAATCACAAACTGAGAAGCTGGGACTCAAATCCTTTGGTGTAATCTAAAAGCACACAGAAACTATTCAACCCAGCACTTAATGATTTTTTTTTTCCTGCCAGAACTATCCCTTGGTGTCTCCCTAAACAGTCTCCACTTTCTAAATCCCACCTATGGTCAATTGCACACGTCTTTTCCCCAAGATTTTTGCTGCCATGCCTTTCACCAAAATTTCCCCAATCTATATCCTACAGATTTCCTTAAACCCTCTTTCAAAATCCTTTCCCTCAAAAATCTAGCTATGCAAATTTAATTTTGAGATAGGGATCTAATTTTTTTTTTTTGGTACCGGGAATTGAACTCAGGCCCTTGCACTTGCCAGGCAGGCGCTTACACCACTGAGCTATATCCCCAGCCGCAAATTTAACTTTGAGCCCTTCTTACTCCTCCCTCAGTCACTTGCCTGTGTCATACACGGTGGACTGCTCCTCAGTATCCACACTCCTCTGTCTCTTTTTTAGCAACAAGCACAAGGCCCCATAGCAGCAGATGACACTCCTCCTGAACCTTCTCTTGCTTCCTGATACTGGCAACTTTCTAAGTTCAGGTCAATGGGCCATGCGAGCACAAGATATATGCAACTACTGAGTAAAAGGAGTTCAAAACATAAGTCTTCTTTCTACCCTTTCTGGTGAGAAATGGCAACAAACTGGAGCTCTAGTCTTAGACCAAGATGGAACAATATGAAGACAGCCAGGGTCTTGGCCATTTGCTTTCCTTTGGACTGTTACACAAGGGAAAGATGAAAATAAACTCCCTGGTCTAAACTATTATAATTTTATGATGGTAAGTTAGTCCTTACCAAATCCAACAGAATATGCAGTATGCACTATAGTCTATTATTTTCTACTTTTTGATCTACGAGTCAGGTATGTATGTTAATCACCCTGGGAAAAGATACTATATTGGAAAAAGAACTTGCAAAAGCTACTTAACCTCTGCAAGACTCAAGTACTTATTTTTTTTATAAAAATAAAAAAATATATTTTTGGCCTTGGGTTTTGCTTGTTTCCCCCTAAGTATATGGATGACAAGGGTTATGCACATTAATGTTTTCTTTGAAGAGTAGCTATGGTAAAATTCTTGACTGCTGAATGCTTAAGACTGTTAGCTAATTTGGGGGACTGGGGGTAGAGAGAGAGAGATTGACTATTCAAACTTTTCTTTATGTCCAGAACTCAATGTACCAGACATTTAGAAAATAAGATTTTAAACTTCAAGTCAGACTAGCTTTTATCAGTATCTAGATGCTGATAGTATGCTAAATCTTCAGTGTGTGAAACCTCATTTCTGCTTATAAATGTAGACTTAGAATTAAAAAGTGGAACAAGGAACTTACTTTCTACCCCGCAAAAGGGACACTTGTGTGATACATAGCCAGTGACTCTTATTTACTAAATCAGGAAGACATGAAGTGATAAAGCACTCCTTGAAAGAGAGTGCATGGTGCGTGCGTGTGTGTGTGTGTGTGTGTGTGTGTGTGTGTGTGTGTAGGACCAAGGGGTGAGGAGGAAGAGGATTAGCTTCAAGTCACAGCTACTACTGTTTCCAAAACAGGAAATAAAAACAAGATATTCTGTATCCTTGCTGCCTACCACAAAAAGTTGTTTATGTCTACACGGGAATGTATGTCCAGCTCACAATTATTCTTCATGACCAAAGACCAGCAGATAAGCAAGTGTTTATTAAAAATATATAACCACAAGCTATAATTAGCCACTGTGCATCACTGACATTGCATGCAACAAATGTTCGTGTGCTATGTACTAACCACGGGACAACAGCAAAAGAGAAGGAACGAAAAGCACAAGTCTAATTAGATCTACACATGTATCCCAAATGTGCTCTAATCACTCGTCTTCTCCGCTCTGTTGCCCTCTGAAGTGCCTGGGAGACAGTGAACACTTCAGGAGAGCCACTGTAGGTGACAGGTTTCCTCCTTTTTTTGCAATTCCAGACAGCAGCTCAAACACATCACAACATAAAGGTCACAAACACGGACAGCCGCCTGTTCAGAATACAAATACTCCAAGGCTTGTTTTTCCCCCAGGTGTGCTCCATCCCAGTGAACTGTAACGGGAACACACTTGGCAGTGTGTCCTGTAATGTGTCTGGCTGTGTCCTGGGGTCTACTCTGAGGCTTGAATTCATAGAAGGTAGACTTCACTGGGCCCAGGGCTGGTAAATAATGTGACACTTATCAACTCAGTGGCAAAACCAACCTAAGAGATCAGTGACTCAGCTTCCCACTTGTGTCCCACGTCCCTCACAGATGCTACCTGGTTCTTGCCAAACAATTGTGAGGGGCTTTTTTGATGGCAGCCAAGAGGCAGGATGAAGTTGCTGAGGTCCTGGGGACGTAAGAACCACCTTAGTTCTAGAAGTAGCTTAGCTGGCATGGGTCTCATCAATCTGGTGTCTAACGCTGAGTTTACAACCTCCTGCTAAGTGTTTAGACAACTGGAAGAAAGAATAGCCCAGGAGAATCAACTGGTCTAGGTGGATGGAGACAGGAGGAGGAAAACATAAAAGTAGCAATAAAAAAGTAAACTGAACCCACAGGAAAGAGATATGCAAAGAATGGAGAAGTGAGAAATAGATCTGTAAAGTAACGCTGAGCCAGATGTGGTGCTGCACACCTGTCACCCCAGCACTTTGGGAGGCTGAGGCTGGAGCATCACAAATTCAAACCCAGCCTGGGCAATTTAGCAAGACACCAACTCACAGGAAAAAAAAGTGGCTGGGCGTACAGCTCAGTGTGAAGGTCCTGGGTTCAAGCCCTTGTACCCTCCCTCAAAGGAAAATGCAAGAAAGTTTGCTCTGA